CCAGAACTATAGGGATTTTAAGGATCATCCTGCTAAACACTGTAGGCCATGCTGGTTTGCTTAGATAAAGGGACAGAGCTGTACGTGATGGATTTACTCTGTTGTACTCATTGCCTTCCTTCTCTTCCCCCCACCTCTCCAAATTATGGCTCCATATAAGATCGATTAGTGTAAACTGCTGCTCATCGGGTTTAAGAGGAACAATTTTCTGCAGCTCCTTCACACTGGTTTGAAAGCAAAAAAAAAACCCCAAACATTCTGCTTAATTAAGACCTAAAGAGGCAGTGCAAACTTTTGATGATTAATTGAAGCATGCTTTAGACTGATGCATATTTAGTTATTATAATGTGATAATTTTATCTTGTTATACAAACTACTCCCTTTGGGAACATGATTTAACACTGCAAACACTCCGTGTTTATTGCATTGTTCATTATGAAAAATACACAGGCTAAAAACCACAAGGAGATGTATCTGAACACTATCTGTGCGGCGGGTGCAGGGAGTACTTCTTCCACCTGTAATGACACAACCCAGGGGCAGAAGAACACAGTATTGGAACTCCCACAGTAGCTCTCCCTACGAAGAGTTGAGAACTCAGAAAAGCAGAGGCTGGAAATTCAGGTCTTGTACTGTATGTGGAAGGAATATGCCTTCCTAGTACCCGGTGTAATTATAAGAAGATAGTGGTACCGATGTTCTGCTGAAAATTCTCCTCTTACAACTCAGTTGTCTCCGTGCCAACTCTGCTTTGTCTCACCTGTATGAGTGCCCACGCTACCTGTCATAAGCGTGACAGATCCGAGAACATGCTAAGCCCATTGCAAGAGCAGGGCATAAAGTTGCGAGCCCAGATGGAAATAAAAAATGCAGTTGTTAAAAAAGATTTTCTTTCACTGCAAAATGATCTTTACTGGGACTTGCAAATGTTATTTTCTGACTTCAGAAACCTGTGTCAGCCTAGCTATGTGAGTCCTGAAAGTGATGGTGAATGATCTTTTATCAGAAGAGCGGCTCCAGCGAGAGCTCACATGATGGGAAGGCATGAGCGAGCTCGTGTTACTCAGGTGGATGTCCTAAGCTAGGCTACCAGCAGAAGTTTGTCTGTGAGAAAAGGAGAACTTTGCCGATGCAGTATACAGATGTAGTTATTGTGGAGAAGCTTTCTTAGCGCAGACCTAATCAGAAAAACATTAGAAGAAAGATTCAAGACGGAGAAGCAGTCTCAAACTACTGGATTTGAAATTCCCCACTTCCCTGTGTTGTCATCCCAGCAGCTTCTTCTTGGTGAGTGCTCTAGGGACGGGGGTTTGATACATTTTCCTGAAAGAAGGTCGTGTCTGGTAAAGGGATTTTTTAAAGAATTTAGCCTTACGAAAAAAGGGTCTGTGAAAAAGTGAGAGGAATTTTATCTTGAATGGAAGATATGAATTTCTGGTTTCTGATTATTCCAGTTTGTGTTTATTAAAAGACAGCAATTAAATTACAAGTCTGTGGCTTTTTATATTTCACAGTCTTAATGTTTTGCGTTTTAGTTATCGCTTCCCACTGCTGTGGATTGTAATGGTAAAAATACATGGACTATGACCTTTCCATTAATATTACAGTCCTCTTTTTTGGTCACTAAGCTTAATACACTGTAACAAAACGTCCGTATTAGTTATTTTCACAACGCCTGCTCAGACCTCTACCGCAACCAGTGTCAAGAAGAAAAGCACCAGATCAGGTTTGGACCTTCATCATTGTCCCCAGCAGTCATCCACACCCATAGGCCATAGGGCATGGCTCTGTACCGACCCCCAGTACCAAGAACAGGTCTTTTTTCGGCCGTTCTTAGCTTCACTTGAAGCTGAAATAAAGGATTTGGTTTTAGAGCAAGCCTTGCTCCCACTGGGCTGCATGGGACTCTTGGTGATGGTCCGCAGGAAATTAGTCGTGCGATACAGGATGCTTTCTTTTTTCACCCGATGAACTGCATTACAAGGAGTTTGAGTTACATCAAAAATTGACTTGGGCAAACCTACTCCTGAGGGAGCAAAGATGACTTAAAAAGTGACATATCAGTGCACTGTTCCAGGAAGTGCGTGCTCTGAACCCCCTTCTGAAGTACTGCTGTTCCCTGGCTGCTTTACGTGGCCATACTCAGAGAATCATTTTGTAGCAGTGTTCCTGAGTCTATTAAATGCAAGAGGCATCTAGTTTTATTATTAGTGTTACTATTAAAGGGATTATATTGTATGTGACCGTTCTTTCTTGACGGGGGCGAGAATCTTTCCCTCCCCTTCTCCCTTCCTTCTTTCAAAATGATGAACATTTCGATCAATATTGATGATGCCTCCTGGATATCAGCTGTCTCTTCCTGGAAGTGCAGACAGTGGCTGGAAGTAGCAGTTTGTAGACCATGTTCTGTTGTTTTATTGACTGTCAGATCCATGGACCACCAGTGAAGCAATGCTGCTTCAGAGGATTCCCTGTGAGGTGGTGGTGGTGAAGTTCTACTGGTCAGGGCATGGGAAGACAACAGCTTGACAGAGTAGGTGCATCTCCTCCTTCTTCTCCTCCTTCTCCTTCTCCTTCTCCTTCTCCTTCTCCTTCTCCTTCTCCTTCTCCTTCTTTCTCCTTCTTTCTCCTCTCCTCACCAGGATCTCTCTTAGAGGAAGTCTTTGGCAGAAGGGAGTGGATTGAGCCTTACTGTCCTGCATAACCTCCTGCAGAGAAGCATGTAATGCGGCTTTTCCACGTAAACAACTGTTGCTGCTGCTGGGATGCTGTGTAACTGAAAGTGGACAATTGCGTGGTCTTTCTGGTCACCTGTGGGAGGCAGTTCATGTGTGTCAGTGAGCAGAAGTTGCAGTACAGCTGAGGTGCTTCCCCTATGAAGTTATGCATGAAAGCCCCTGAGAATCCCAGTGGTGGAGCTCTGTGTTTCTCCTGAAACACCGTGCCCCAGACAAGCCAACCTGCTTCAAAAAGAGCTACTCCAGCACCTGCTTTGCCAGTGAACTCTTTCAGCTCTGTAATTTTCTTTTTTCGTTTATGACAGTTACTCTCACCAGAAATGAAGGCTATAAGAAAGGTTATCACTGGTAGATCTTCTATTTTCCAGAGATAAAATACTTATCAGTAGGAGAATATATGTTGCTGTTATCTGAAACAAGAGGTTGCCATCTGTTTCCTTTGGTTCACAGGACCTTCTGTTGTCCTGATACATTCAAAGGGGCAAGTTCAGTCTGTAAGGAATTGGTTTATAATGGTGCAGAAGTAGCTGAATCAGGGCACCTTTGTAAAAGCTTGGTACTTCAAATGGCTCAGGATAAAAATGGGGGGGAAGAGCTCTCGGGCTGTGCTGGAGTAGTTAGCATCCTGGCCAAGGCTGGTCTGGGGAGAAAGCTGTGACGACACCCTGCAGCATCACCGTGGGAGCACCCTGTGCTCCTGTGTGCCTGGCTGAGATTACAGCCAGCTCAAGGGCAGGCTCCCTGACCCTATAGATGGCTAGTGATAATTTTGGCCAAATCGTTTTGATTTCCCTTGATGTTCAGTATATGAAAGCATTTATAATATTGGCAAATCCCACTCTAAAGGGTAAGTGATAAAATACATTCAACGCAAATCTGTGCTATAACTTAGCCTTAAATATAGGTTTAAAGGTAGACGGGTCTGATTAAAACTAAAAGGTCATTATTTTACACTGTACAATTTTATTTGTAGCTATAAATCATAACACAATTTGTGGAAGGAAAAAAAGTTATTAAACTGGCAATATTTATTCCGTTAAGGTGAATAAAATGCAGCACGTAGTTCTGAGTTATGATAGCTGGGGCAAGGAGCCAAATCACTCTGCTAAAAATTAGTTTGCCAATAATTTTACAGAATGATGACAGCGTAGCTTCGAAAACAAATCCTTTATAGGGAAATGGGATGGCTGCATGACAGAGTCTCTGAGCTATGAATTCTGCACAGCTCATGGACCAGGAACTGCTTTAACAATTAGTCTTCGGGGATTTTTTTTTCCCCCCAGAAGTTAGACAATGGCTGCTGTCTGTAACTGAAAGGTCACGCTGTATCATAGACTGGACCTAAGAACTGAAGAATTCTGAGTTTTAAGTCAGAAAGATTCCTGCTAACTTGCTGTCTTGATCTGTTTAGGAGGCTTAACTATTCCCCAGCCCCATCTGTGAAGCAGGGGTGGGAATGATGACCACATGAGGATATCGCTAGCACTTTAGTAATAAGCCCTGGTTTTTTTTTTTACATGGCAGAAGGCATACATGCCACATCTGTAACACATGTTAGAGAAGAGCTCTAAAGAGGCTCAGGAACTCTGCCTGAATTAAAATTTGACCGATGAGCACGATGGCTGGAAAGTAACCTCACAGACTCTACCACGTTGCTGCGTCTTCCTTCTCACTCGAGTCTGTGTTTCTGTGGCTGCTATATCCACACGAAAGCTCCCCGTTTGTACAGTAGTTATTATTTCGAAGCAACGCGGAAAAGGGGTATTTCATGTTCCTTCTTATATAGAAGAGGGCTCTTGTTAGAGACCTGCCTTGGTGCGGTACCTTCCGGGTGTGTTTTATCACCGGCTTGCTGAGCACAACATCTCAGGGGCTCGCCGCAACAGACTGTAAGTAACAAGAACAAAGCAGCAATACTCATTAAGCCTTGGTTACTCGTTTAATAAAGTGTTGTGTACTCTTAAACATGCTGAAAAGCTCTCGAGATTTCCAGAGCTTCTCAGCAATGCACCATTTTTCAAGCTGATAATCTTTCCCAGCCATCTCAGAAGCTTTGCCAGTCTGCCGAGCCTGGCTGGCACAGGTCACCGGCTGCCTGAGGACAAAGCTGGTGGTCACAGGCATGCACAGTTCTGCTCTCAGACAGTGAGGGAGTTAGAAATAAGATGAGCCGGTGCTGGTTGTATCTAAGAGTAAGTGTGCAGATGTCTGAGGAAGGTGTTTGCATTTCATGTAAACATTGTTCTTATATTTTTGTTGTAGAAGATGATGTGTCAAATGTACAAATAATGTGTGCCTGGTGCCAGAAAGTTGGAATCAAGCGCTATTCCCTGAGTATGGGAAGTGAAGTGAAATGCTTCTGCAGCGAGAAGTGCTTTGCAGCTTGCCGAAGAGCATATTTCAAGAGAAACAAGGTAAGAGAAATAAGGAAAGATGTAACCTACATAGACATAGCTTTAATCGGGCCCAGCATGGGTCTCATTTAGCATCTAATAGAAGCTCTTTTCTTTTGTTTTCTCTGTTTCACCTAGTCCCTCCACTTTCCATCTGTATTGTCTGTTTGGACTGTCAGCCCTTTACTAACCTGGTTTCTTTCAGTTTCCTTCAGCTCGATGCTTGGGTTTTGTGAGAGTCAGAGAATTTAAATACTAATAAGCATTAATATAAAGAGTTCCAATTTGGCCTTAGAGTCTCAGGATACTTGCTACATGTGCACAGCTAAGAGGAGGTATCATGGAAATAGAGTAGAGGAGGGTTGCGTATGACACTGTCAGTAGGTCCCATGGCGTTGGGATCACGGCCAGTGGGTAAATGCTTTTAGGGCCTGAGTCTGGGTCCCATCACGATAGTGGACATCTTCCCACTGCTGCTAGTGAGCTCTAGTTTCATTCTTTTAAAGCGTATCATTACTAATAAACTATCATTGCTGCAAAATTCAGACACTATATAGTTTTGGGGTTGGGGTAAGCGATGTTAGAACATCTAGAGTAGCATGAAAACCCCTCCTACTCAATTTAAATTTAACTCTGTCTAAAATTAGAATGCAATCCTAATATTGAATGTCTACAAAAATTGCTGTAATCACTGAAGTACAGTGCCTGCAAATGCCCTCTAGGTTACTTCAGCAGCTGTTTTTCTGCAGCAGAATGTGCGATGTGTCATTTAAAGAAAAATAACGAAAGAACGCTCCAGCATTTTTAGCTGTTGAAAAAGTAGCTGTGTCCTTCTGGTGCTTAACAGTGTTGAGTCTTTGGGTAGCCTTTATTATCTCAGAAATGTTTATTATTCATAAAACCCTTTACATTTTGGTTTTCTAAATGATGCCATTTTCCCTCATGCTACAGAACATTCGAAGCCTGACAAGTTCAAACCAAATTTGGGTCTCTAAACCTGGTCTTTTAAATCTGTGGTAATAAAAAAATAAGTACCTATGGATCATAGATTCAAGATGCAATGTTATAGCAAATTACCCTCCTTTATAAATTTGGGTCACATCATCCTGCCAAAAAAAACAAAAAAAAAAAGGAAAAAAATGCCTGAAGAATTAGGTTGCAAAAATCAGTAGAGTGGAATTTTAGTGGCCGTCTTGGAGAATCAAGCTCATAATGTCTACTGGAGCAGACAGGCAAGTTAAAGTCACGTGAGTCTTCTGCGAGGAGTGGTGTTTACATCCTTTTTATCCAGAAAAAGTGTAGAGGACGGAAATACATGCTCCTCAGTTGCTCCTCTTTTGAAAATAAGTTCCCGTGGATCTATGTGTATGTGCACATATGCACATTTACGCACATGCAGTTCGATGTGCCTTACAATGTGTAAGACGCTCTGGAGTGACAGGATCCAGATCACCGTCAGCTGATGCTCCCGTGACTCTCAGTCACAAATTTACTTGGGTAGGACAGTTCATAGCAATGGACTCGGTGTCAGTGATCCTAGTTAGGTGGTCCTGTGTGTCCAGCAGTGATAAGCACCAGATAATTCAGGTGACCTTGGGGACGCAGATGAAAGAACAACCAGTTCATGGTGGATTCTCTTTCATCTACAGTTTAGATCATGAAATAGGTGGTTTAGATCCCTGACAAAATGAAAATAAATACATGTTAACATAATGCATAGGTGTACTTCAACCTTCTACTAACCCATGAGTAGTATGACTCAGTAATAGTTTATGGCCGTGAATTCAATCAGTGAGGCCGCATATGAAAAAGTTCCCTCTTACCTGACTTACAATTTATTACCCATGTGCTTTGTTGGAGGCCTCCTTGTCCTTGTATTACGAGAAAGGATGAATTAGAGCATCTCATTCCCCCTGGTTCCCTTTCCTACACCTCTGTTAACTTCTTCTGGAAGCTAAAAGATGCTGAATATTTCCATCCAGAAAGCTCTCTGTATTTGTTATTTTGTATATATCTAAATAACAATAGATGTTCCTAATCTTTTCATATACCCTCGTATCCCAGTGAAATGTCCTATTCTTCACTAAAGAGGTTGCAAATAAATGAAATGTCATATGGGAGGACTTGGCAAAACGTGGTGAGATAACATATAATTGATAATATCTTGGTTGCTGCATTGGCTCCGCTTCAAAGCTAAGCCAGCGAGTCAAATTTTCTTCCTCTTTGCACCCGTGGAATCTGGAACTGCACAGGATCTGAGCCAGCAGGGGAAATCTGGAGCTGCCCCTTGCATGTGTATTTATGGCATGAGATGATCAGGGGACAGACTATTTAGACAGTGCTGCCAATAAATTAAGACAGGTACAGTAGGATTCAGCAGACCCTCATGCTTCTTGTTTTGCTCTTCACCTGTTAGTAATAGAGTGGAGTCTTGAGGAACAAGATCAAAGGAACAAGGCTGCAATAGTTTCAGATTTAACCACTGACCTTTAATCTGTTATTACTAGTCCAACAGTGTACCTGTCTTCTCCATGAGTCTAATGCTTATTTATGTATTTGGGAAGTTATGCCACTCTACACTTTCTCGTTTTTCAAACAGAGGAGTAAAATAGTCACGTTTCACCTGCCTTATGTATGTTTGAAACAGCGGATCTCCGCCACAATATAGTGTTGTGTTACGTTAAATATGTACAGCTGCTGCATTTCTGGGAGCTGATAGGACTTTGTGGTCACTTCATTTAAGGCTTGAATTTCCTAATGGATCGTGTTAAGCAGCCTTCCCTCCCTCCCCTAGATAAGAAGTGCTGTAATAAGCGCTTGCTTAAAATGATAGGATTGTTTGAACAGTAAAGAATAAGTCATCACTAAGGTCTCAAAACAGCACTAAGTGATGCTGCAAATTATCCATCCCTGAGTGGCAGCTCCTGTGTTCAGAATTAGGACTTTTGTCGTCATCCTAATAACAGGATCTTCTCCATACACAGGGCAAATGCACGCTGAAGCGATGCTTGCCCACATATTCCCAGCTGGGAGAAGGCTTGGCATAAGACCACCTTGAAGTGCCCCCGGAGAGAAATCAAAGTCCTCCAAAAAGCCCCAGGTTAGCTGGGCGCTGACTGCTCCCAACCTCTAACTCCTTCCCGCAGTGGGTTTAGCAAGAGTAGCCACGCACTGGAATAAGCTGGGACCTTGCTGGCCCTGGGAGTCTTTGAACCCAAGCAGTTTATTCGGAGGTGCACATCAGTCCTTCCTGCTTCTTGTCCCAGTGGAGTTGTGTCCGTTAGCGCTCCAGGAGCTCTGCCCCTGCACCCTCTGCATCCATACGTAGCCAGGGTTGTCAGGGAGCTTCATGGCTGGGATGGGGAGTTTGTAAGGAAAGAGGCTTGTGCAACTCTAAGTTGCTCTTCTCGTAAGAAATGCGAATTTTGCCCTGGGTATCCTTGCAGTCATGACCATTTAAAATTCTCTATGTTAGCAACCATGCCTTGCAAGAATAGAAATATATATGTTTTGAAATTATAATGGGTCTCCTCGCAGAGTGTGATTTTGTCTAAAATACCAGAAATAAAGGAAGAAAAAATTGGGGGTTTTACCCCATTAGGCAAAAAGCAAAGTATTTACGCTAGATCTGATTTAGAAATCTGAATTCCTGCTCCTGTTTGGTCTCGTATGCGTAGCAAATACAGATCTTGAACTACTGTATAGTGCTAATCTGTTATGATAATACCAATTAAAAGGAAGCGTTGCAGGAAAAGGGAGCATTTCATACTAATGTTTGTAATTGAAGATTTAAGATTTGGAGCTGTTCTGATGCTCTCTTTCTTAGAGATTTAATTTTATAGGCCAACTAATATAGTTAAGTACCAAAGAGGCACATAAGGGCAAAAAGCACTAGACCACCAAGTTTCAGAATATTAAATTTAAAGGGAACGATTGGCTTCATAATTGGATCCAGTGAGTTTGAAGCCTGAAAAGATTAATTTTTAAATTAAGTTTATTGACTCAGTGGGTCAGAAAACAAATTTATTATGACCAAATAGCCAAACCTAGAAGGAGGACTGAATTCACAGAGCTTATAGGCTCTGTTCACAGATATATTAAAGGATAATTTACTTGATTTGACTAAGACATCGGAGACAAAGTGACTGCAGCATTGCCAGCCGGTATTTTATACTCGACCTTGTTCCTATTTTGCGCTGCCTCCCAATCAGGAAGAAAGGTTATAGATGCTTTTGTTTACAGTGCAGTCAAATTCCATTTATACTAATAAACAAAAAAGCATAAATCAAAAAGTAAAAGTAAACTGCTGTTGCGCAGCGTGAAGATGTAAACAGTGATGGCTCTTTTCTCCCCGTACAGGATAGTGATGGGCAGCACCATGTGTGAGCCAGTAGTGCAGGCAGGCAGTGTGGTTTATACTCTTTTATCTCACCTGCTTAGCAAGAATGAGTGTGAACAATCAAATGGGGCTCTAAGAAGTCATACGTATTTATTTAGTCCTGAGTTCTCTTGCATTAGACAATTCCTTGCGTTTTCAAATGGTACTTAAAGATGATGAAGTGCACGCAGCACCATAAAGCCTTAGTACTCCTGTCTGAGCATTTTTTTTGTTAATTAATGTATATCACTATGTGATTAATATGGACATGTATATAAAACACATTCTAAAAACTGGGAGTAAGCAGCAGCTATCATTCCCCAAAATCATTACTGAGGGTTGTCAGAGAAAGTTTCCTTGATTTCAAGCGTAATTGTGCAGCCGAACAGTGCATAAGAAACATTTAACAATCTCCCTGTTAAGTCAGTGAGTAATGGCAAAAAAAAAATATTACTTTCTTCTCTTTCTTATGCACCCGCAAAATTTAATTTGTAAAATGATCATCATACATGGAAATTTGGAAGATTGCTTAAAGCATCTTGATGCAAATAATGCCTCTGACAAAAAGCTTAGCTGTTACAGCTTCCTTTAGAGTCCCTTTCTGTAATAAGTTTTGAAACACATGGGTCTCTCAACAGAAAAC